ATATTTAACACTTTATCAAGATCTTTAATATCATAAAAGTTCTTTTCATATTGTCTAACTTTTATAATAAATTTTTTTTGCATCCATATTAAAAATTCTGCGGGTAATTGATATACGTCTTTACAATAAAAATTTATAATAAATTCCCATCCTCCAAAAAAATTTTCATCAGTATGATACAAATACTCTTTCAAATGAACCATTAATCGTTTTCTATAATGTGTGATCATGTATAAATTTTTTTCCATGAAATAATTTTACAAAAACATACTTTATAAATAAAATGCAAATTGTATTAAATTCTTGCCTGTATATGTTTTTCCTCAATAGTCTTCAGAATAGTCTTTGGAAACAAAAAAACAGGCTTCAGCGTAACTAGAGAAACGTTAATACAATTGTAATAGTAAAAAAATTACGTCGTAAATAAAAAGGCAAATAGTACTAAATTTTTACCTGTATACTTTTTTCCTCAATAGTCTTTGGAAGAGTCTTTGGAAACAAACAAACAATCTTTAGCGTAACTAGAGAAACGTTAATTCAATTGTGATATTAAAAAATTACTTCGTAAATAAAAAGTAAATAGCATTAAATTCTTACTTGTATAAATAGCGAGTGATCAACGATTTCAAACAAAATTCCAAATGATTTCCAACAAGAAAACTTTAACGGAGCTTGAGAAACTTTGATGCAATTGTGATATTTACACGTTCTTAAATACTCTCGTTACAACAAAATACCCTTTGTTTCCGTTTCACCTTGAACGTTCGTATCTACATCTCCATACACTGTGTCTTTGTTTGCTAGTTACTCTTGAACATTCGAGAACACAAACGAAACCCATTTGCTGTCATCATATCAATTAAATATCAATTAAACACCTGTGACTGGTACAATCTGACACTGACTTCAACAGAATCGAAAATATGTGTTTTGTATTAAAGCCAGATACAAAAAATTGTTTTCACCTCTTTAATGTATTTAGTAATCAACGTGGTTTGTGTTATGACAAAAATCGCAAGTTTTAACATATAGAATCATACCTAAATTCAAACAGAATTGTGTAAATTCTAGAGAATACTAATATCTCAAACAAATCCGTTTGCTGTCATCACAATCTATTAATCAATTATGTTCAATACCTGTGACTGGTACTATCTGACACTGACCTCAACACAGTAAAAAGAAAACGGCCATTTTAGCTCCCAAAATGGGGCCAAAATATTGACCCCAGAACGCCCCCATAATTTAGAGGGCCGAATTTGGCCCCAAAACGTAGCTGAAACAGCCCCAGGTAAGAGGACCAATTTAGCCCCATAGCGAGCTATTTTGCCCCTTTTGTGTGAAATTCAGCTCTAGACAGAATAGCCAATTTAGCCCCATTATCTCATCAAATCGGCAATGGCTAAAAAGCAGCCCCTTGCCCTGGAAAGAAATGAAATTACTTAAAGCTTACAATAAACAAGACTCGTATAATATACGTAAGCACATAAGTGCTTAACACCTTCATTAAATTACTTTACATGCACATATTTTTATCTCACTCAAATTAAACTTCACAAGAAAGAATTGAAATAAAACATAATCTATATAGCCATATGCATTCATGATTAGTTGAACACATTTTATAACACTCCAACTAAACTTTTCACAGAAGATGGACACTTCTCTGGGATAATTCCCAATAATGCCATGTCAAGAAAGCTATAGACATTCATGCCTTCAATGTATTTTATATTGTACATATAGTACGTGGCCAACAAAGCAACCAGAGCATCGCCAATCTTTTTGGTCGTTACATGGCACAAAAATATTCCTTCTGCTACCACATATATAGTGTCACTTTGATAAAGGTCATCCACTACCAAAATACAAGGTTGAATTTGTGTTCTTATTTTTTCATCAAGGAAAGCGCCATTCTACGATAAAAAGACAGCAGAAAATTTAGACAACTAGCTTGAGACTGCACAAAAGAAGTCTTAAGTGTCTACTTTCATTAGGGTTCACAAGTCACTATTTGTTATGTGAGAAACAAAAATGAAGTAGTATGGTAATACTCATTTTATAGTAAAGATATAGTGCCAGTTTTACCTTAACAACTTTGATAACAGCTTCTTTAACATGAGGCGTCCTCCTGCTGTTTGGCTGCTTGAAGACAATTTGAGCGATTTTGATAGCTGCTCTACCAGCACATTCGCCTAAAAAATAGCACACACTGCTACACAAAAGTTGATCGAGAAACAACTGCTGATCCTTCTTAGTTTTATTTCCTTCAAGAGAAATTCTGATGTGTATGAAGTTCATTATCAGCTGAAATACCTTCTTCAAGGATACCACTGTCAATAGCATTGTGCATTCTTTTCAAGTCTTCTGAATGTTTACCACCGTTTTTCTCTGCATATGCCAATAGCCTGTGACGCCAGACTTTGTTGAAGTTTTCCTTTACCTGTGTAGCTACGTCTTTATTCCCTATAACTTTTGCAAATTCAGCCTTGATCTGTAGTAATACAATATACAGCAGTTTCCTATAAGCTTTGCTAAACTTATGTACGCATTTTATGGGATGAAAATACTACTAGCTACTAACGTATAGCAGATTTTTTAAAGGAGGGAACATTTCAACAACTTCCACTATTCTTCTGTCTTCCGAGACAAGTGATCTCTTTGAACCATAGCATGCAGCCATCAACTCCTGAATTTTTTCATGATCCTTTTTAGCTGACTGCCACTCCTTTTTTATTTTTGATACCACTGCTGTAAGATCTTCACTTTCGCACGGCTCGGGAACGTTCGTCCAACAGTGACTGTTCCTTTTCTTTGTTGTTTTGCCTTTAGTTTGCGAGACATTGGTAATAGGCGCGTTATATCTCTTTCTTTGCAATTTTTTGAATCGGTTATAGATTTTCATCTCAATACATGCCTATAAAAGAAAGCTTTCATTTAAAAGTAGTAAAAGACAAGTAAATTTATTTTTTATCATTTACAAAATAGAGACGCAAGCAGCCCATTACAACAAAAACGCAAATAGCAATGTGACAATGTAAATTTGCATCACATAGTTTGGATTAGGGGGTGGGATGGGAAGATGTGTCCACTTCTCTTCAAAATACTAAAGCCTAGTTAACATATATTTGTATATAATTGTAGTAATTCTATCGGCGTTGAAGGTTCATATCAAATATAAGTGTATGAGAACGCGCGTTGTAATTGTTGTAAGTAATTTAATCGCAAAAAATCTGGAGTTCAGTCAAATCAAAAGCAATTGTGCTTAGAGATAAATGGAGGATGCCACTATAATTGGTAAAATCTACGAACGCAATAAATATGTAACAGAATTTAACAAAAAAGTCTGACATCCTTTGGCAACAAATACGTACTCACAGAAATCACATCCCCTCTAGACAAGTAGTAACCTAAACCACACCCATGCTATTCGCAAACACACACCCCAGCCAAAAAAATTGTGAATAATAATAATAATAATAATAAGGACTTTATTTGAAGAGGGGGACACGTAACAGCTGAAAAGCTGACAAACCTGTGGCCCTCTAACTAGATTATACAGGATTACAAAAAAACTGACAATGAATAAATATATATAAATAATTACAAAATTCTATGATAAAAATAGCTGGACATATTAAAAATATTCAGAAAGATAAAATTAATTTATAAAAAATTAAAATTAAAATTAGGTAGTGTACTATTGCTTAATATTGTTTCAAAGTTGTCCAGGTTTTTATATGAGCTTATAAAATGCTTTTTCACAGCTGTTTTGAATAGATTTATACTAGGCATTTTTTTGATGTCATGGGGAAGGCTGTTCCATAACTTAACTGCGTTAACACTGAATGCCTTGCCACCATCGTTATTTCTTAGGTATTTGGGACACACTAAATTTAAATTGCCATGTCTCGTGGACCTATTGTGAACAGAACTGTTCGTCTTGAACAAATCTTTGATATAAATGGGAACATCGCATTTGAGGCTCTTAAAGATCATGGCACATTTGTTTAGTTTTATTTCGTCAAAAAAAGGCAACCAGCCTAGTTTACTAAAGTTTACAACACTTCTAGAATAAGGGTCTACTCCAAGAATTACTCGGGCAGCCCTTTTTTGTAACCTTAGGAGACAGTGGAGTTCTTTAACGTCGCAGGTATTCCAAACCATGCTCCCGTACATAAGGACGGGTTTAATCAAGGCGTTATAGTATAAAAGTCTTTCTTTTATTGGAAGGTATCTCTTTATCTTTTTTAATAAACCAATACGCTGAGAAAGCTTGGCCTTTAGGCTAGAAATGTGGTCACTAAATGTAAGATCTTGATCGAGTGTTACACCAAGCAATTTATAAGAGGTTACTTGTTCTATTTCGGCCCCATCAAGGGTCACTGACAGGTGATTGCCATCAACTAATGATGAATGTAGCCTCTTTCCAGTGATAAGTAATGCTTTGGTTTTAACAGCGTTTAGGACCATCCCATTTTTGCTAGACCATTTACTTAATTTATCCATGTATTCTTGAAGACGTCGTTCCAATTCCAAAGGTGCATTATCGATATTAGCGCTGGCTTTAAATGTGGTGTCATCCGCGTAAGCATGAATAGTTGAGTCCGATCCAACAGCTCCGGGAAGATCATTGACGAAAATTAAAAACAGTAGAGGTCCTAATATGCTACCTTGAGGAACTCCATTGGTTAGCATAAGTTGTGACGAAGTCGAGTTATTTACAGTGACACACTGTTTGCGATTGAGTAGATAGCTCTGCAATAGCTTTACAACATTATCTGGAAATCCATATGATCTTAACTTTACTAGGAGAATGTCATGATTGATCAAGTCGAATGCCTTACTATAGTCCACAAAAACTAAGCCGCTGACATTGTTTTTATCAAGGTCAAGAAGGACTTGGTCCAGAAGAAACAACAAAGCAGTATCCATGGAGTGGTTTTTACGGAACCCTGATTGGAAGCGGTATAAAAGTGCGTTTCCTGTTAAGTAGGTGTTCATTGCATTGAGGATGTGTCTTTCAAAGACTTTAGAAAGAATAGGCAAAATACTAATAGGACGATAGTTTTGAATATCTTGCTTGTTTCCTTGATTCTTGAATAGTGGTTTAACCTTTGCTATTTTCCATTGTGAGGGAAATGTACAAGTTTCAATACAGTGATTTATAATTTTAGCTATGGAGCATGATATTTTAGGAGCTGCAATCCTTAGAACTCTGGCACCAAGCCCATCAATTCCCGTGGCTTTGTGTGTAGGTATACTTAGAAGATAATCGTTAACCTCACTAGGAGTTATTTGCGGAATAAGATTCTCAATTTGACTGTTAGATTTGTCTGGAGGACCAGGAAGAGCATCATAATGAAGTACAGGAGCCGCCTTTATGAGACGTTTATATACATCAGCGAAGAAGCGGTTAAAGCGTTCAGCGATTGAATGGTCATCCTTTATCAGGTTGTTGTTTTCGTCAGCAATAGGAACGGAGTCGTCATTATTCCTTGTATCTTTAGATAGGTCTTTAATTAAAGACCAAAGTTTCTTTGGACATTTTTGATTTTTACTGAACTGAGATTTAAAGTACTGTTCCTTCGCATTTCTTAGTTTCCTCGTCACTTTGTTTTTAATCAGTTTAAAAGCAGACCAGTCGTGTTCATTTTGTGTTCTCCTGGCCCTTTTTAGAAGATTATCGCGTTTATTTATTTCGTTGTATAGATCATTAGTGAACCATTTCGGCTGATTGATTTTCTTCACACTCTTGAACTTTAAAGGTGCGTGATTATCAAGAATGTCATTAAAGATTTTGTACCAAGATTCAACAATGCTATCGGCATCTTGAAAAACAAAGGAGATATCCCAAGGGGCTTCTCTTAAGTCTCGCAGAAAGCACTCTTTGTTGATTTTGTCGATATTTCTGTATTTGATTTTGGAATGTTGTTTACGTTGTGCATCCATGGTTTTGTAGCACCTCAAGATAGTGACCGGCAGGTGATCGGAAAGTCCAGATTTACCTATGGCTACTTCTCTAATTCTAGCAGGATGACTAGAATAAATATGGTCTAAGCACGCATCAGAGGCAGGTCTTGTTACTCTATTTACCATCTGCGTTAATCCAAGACTGTTCAGTGCCTTTGCGAGACAATGTTTTGAATAACAGTTGAAATCAATATAATCTAAATTGAAGTCTCCCAGAATAATCAATTCATTGTTTTGGAGATGGGCATTTTCAATATTTTTACCCAAACTCTCATTATAATCTTTGTTGGCTGAAGGTGGACGGTAAACACCAGATATCAAAATCGGTCTCTTTGATTTATGAGGACAAATTTGAAGCCAGAGAGTTTCAAGATCATCCAGTTCCAAATCTCTTCGACGTGAAGCCATAACTTTTTCATTTACATACGCAATTATGCCGCCACCTTTCTTCCCGATTCGATCTTTTCTGTGTAATGTGTAGCCGGGTATCATGTAATAGCTGTCTGGAATTTTACTAGATCCGAACGTCTCAGTGAGAATTAAGACGTCGAGTTTAGTGGCATTGTTGTTGTTCGAGGTGAGCATTAGAGATATTTCTTCCAATTTGGTGTCAGTCAGTCTTTGGATGTTCCAGTGGCAGACTGATAAGCCTCTGAAGCCTGCAGGAGGTTGAAGGTTATTAGGTCCTGGATTGACAGCAATATCGCCAGATAGAAGAATACACAGACAAAATTGGCCAAGCTTGACGAACCGCAACAACGCCTGTAGCTTCAAATTCAAATCGCAAGGTGTGCATTTCGAAGGCTTTGACTTACAGTCGAGCGTAGGTGCAGCAGATATTTCCTTCCCAATGAAGAATCTGACTGTAGAGCGATCGAATTCAGGTGTAATTGAAGTAAATTGGCCAAGTAAAACACTGATAAAAGTCAATTGAAGCACGACTGCAAAAACACGTCTGTACGCCATGACTAATTTATCATGACCCAATACACAATACACATTCCTGATTTAGATTTTTGTGTTAGTTAGTTAGTCACCCAGTTATTGATTTTAGCAGGCATGATTATAAGAAATTGAGGTGTGACGTCATTAAATGTATTTGTCATGACTGTTAGCAAAAAGAATGTGTGGTTTCTTTAAAAGAGATTTATCGAGGCAAATTAAAACTTCGTAACTGCCCAAAATGCTTTCTGAAGTACAAAGTTTTAACTTGTCTGGCAAAATTGCTTTTGAGAAATCATACATTCTTATTATTGCTAACAGTAAAATACAATTAATGACATCACACATGTCAGCTTTAAAAAATTCCTATTGCTTACCAGGAGCTAACATTCATGTGATCAATATTCATTATTATTTGACACATATGTATAATGAAACAAAACAAAACAATAATTGAACAAAATGTCATGTTATAAACACTTTTAAGTATTATTTACCCATGGCTTTGAGTTTACATCCAATAGTGGATCTTTCAAGAATGGATATGATTCAACAATCATAAGTGCAATCTTTACACGTTCTGTTTTGCTGGGATGGTTTGTAAATCTTAGCACACTTGTGCAGACATCTCTGATGAGCTCGTTAATCAGATTTGGGGGTAAATACTCTGTTTTCAGCCCAGCTTCAACAGCATAAGAATACTAAATCACAAAAAACTTGTTGACCTGTCTTCATCCCTCCCAAAAAATGGTTAGAGGCTAGTTTAGGGGCAAGTTAATGTCAGAAATTTAGAAATACAATTGTGGTTTTGAAATTTGTAAAATGGCTAAAGAAATGGCTGTTGAGATACCAACTCTAAAACAAAAGCTGATCATTCATCAGCTCACCTCTAAAAGGACTTAAACCTTAATAACTTTTGTAAGCCTTTAACTTTAACCACCCACTTAAGCATAATATTCTTACTATTCTGTGTAATAAATGAGCTGCTGTTAATGTATTGTACTTACACGATTTGGAATTTTGTAGTTCTGTAACCAATTTTTAAACGAGTAAAATATTACTAAATTGCAAATTAGATTTTTAGAAGTACTTCAATTTCCATTTATTGAACAAATGAAAATAAACTTGCATACTTTTGGGGTACTGGTATTTGCATTAAGAGCATTTGGACACTAAAAATTACAAATGAACTATTAATGAAGGTTCATAGCAAGTTTAAATAGGAATGAGCTTAGGAGAGGGGTGTGAAGGAGCAGGACTTATGGTGATGCTGTTACTATTATCACTACAAAAAAATACAAATAAAACCAACAATAGAAATCTCGTAATATTAATAAAGAGGTAAGAACATTTCAACAAATGTCTGACATAATATGTATAGCAACAAGTTATCAAAGCCTAATCTAAACTAGAGGACCCTCCACCCCCAATACAGAACCATTGTGGATCATGTAACCATGACTATATGTATTATTATATGTAATCATGACTATATGTATTATTTTATGTAACCATGAGAAAATGTATTATTACTAAAATGATCAGAAACAGAAGTGCACCAGCCTGAATTGGTGTTACAGGTAAGCTATCACTCTAAAGAAGAAAAATTAAACCAGCATATCATTATTCTGCAAATTTTAATGAATGCACATGGTGCACACAATTTAACAATGATTTGGGTTTGTCAAAAAAATTGTTTATCTTAAATCACTTCCTCATTAGCAACTTTTTACACTTAAGTTTTTTGTTACTATGCAACAAGAAATAGCAAGGTACATGAATGTAAATAAGGAAGAAACAAACCTCGTGCATTCCTGCACTGTAAATGTTGAGACATTTTCTTCGCAACATTGACTTGCTCATCATCGATAGTTTTTAACACAAATAATTTTCCACATATCTCACCTTTTGCCAGGGGGGATCCAGGCTGGTGCAACTGATGCGAGTGCATCAGTCATAAAATTGAATAGTTAATATTTCACAACATTATAACTTACAATCAATACGAGCAAAATGCCAGAAATATATCAGATTGGAACGTTTATAGTTTCTAAATGCTTTAAATACCTTAACACTGACAATATATTGACAACAGATGTACATTGATGATTGAGAAATATTGTTAAAAGCCTTCGTAGATTGTTTACATGTATCATTTTGATTACAGCCGCATTATTAACAAATGCGTCGCTAAATATGGCGTTTTTATGTGTCGAAATTTTTCTATTTCTCCTAATAAAATAAATTTTACACATTTTACTTATGGTATAGTAATCAAGCACACAATTGGCATTTCTGACACAAAACCTGTCGTCTTTTTTATAACAAATGTTGCTTCAAACGCGCATTGTGACGTTAAACTTACGTATGAGATTAAATCTAGAAGCTACTACTTAGATCATTGGAAATGGCCTATCCTCAATACCTGTACTCATTATGCTGAATATTCGCGCACTTTTCATTCTTACGTATATGTACTTGCGTTTTTCAAGTGCTTTATCGGTCTCGCCTTAAAGGCTAGTTCACATATGTCTGCGGTGTGCCTGCGTTTTTCCTGCGGTATGATTTGGGTATGATTTCGCAGGCAGCCTGCCGGTATCCTGCGGTATCTCTGCACTTGCCTGCGATTTCTTTATGTGGTAATTTTCTTCAAAACAAAAATGGCGGTAAATAAACGACGCTTGACTTCTTTACTTCTTTCAAATTACTCATTACTGTTAACTTTGGTAAATACTTACGTGCAGGGAAGAAAAATGAGAGCACAAAAGAGGAAAAGAAGGTTTTGGGTGAGACCAATGCTACAACAACGCAAGAACTACGGTCAATTTCACTGTTTATTAAAAGAATTACAGTTGCATGATCGTGAATACTTTTTCAGGTATAGGGCTGTATTTTATGCGAGGAGCATTGCTCGATTATATGAGTTTTATATTTGAAAATGTTATCAGGCGTTTGTGTGCAAACTTGTTACTAGAATTGAGATGAACACGTTTTTATTTCAAGGTTCACAAGATGAGTCCTGAACGATTGGAGCATTTGTTAAGTTTAGTTGCACCATATATGAAGAAACGAAGTTGCCGGAGTAGAGAAACAATCTCAATTAAACAAAGATTGGTGGTTACACTACGATATCTTGCCACAGGTGACTCACAAGAATCCCAATTATTCAATTTTCGAATTGGTAGAAGCACAGTGTGTATGATCATAAGAGAAGTTTGTGATGCAATTTGGAAAGCATTACGAGATGAGTACTTGAAGCTTCCCAAGTCAGAAAGGGAATGGCATGGTGTTGCAGAAGAGTTTCTTCAGGAATGGGGGTTCCCTCATTGTATTGGAGCTATCGATGGAAAGCATGTAAACATCGACTGTCCCGAAAATGCTGGATCTCTCTTTTACAACTATAAAAATTATCACAGTACTGTGATCATGGCGATTTGTGATGCAAAGTATAGGTTTTTATTTGTGGACATTGGAAGCTACGGGCGTGACAATGATGCAGCTATATTTTCACAAACTGAGATAAATAAAAAAATAGAAAATGGGCAACTTGGCATACCAGGACCGTCTATGGTTAGTGAATATATGTTGCCTTATGTTATCACTGGAGATGACATTTTTCCGTTGAAAACCTGGTTGATGAAACCATTTCCTGGAAAAGGTCTTACTCAAGAACAAGCTATATTTAATTATCGATTGTCTAGATGCAGACGAACCATTGAAAACACCTTTGGAATACTGGCAGCTAGGAGGAGAATTTATAGACGACCAATTCGAGCTGCAATTACAACTGTAGATCTTATTGTTCAAGCAACTGTATGCTTGCATAATTATTTGTCATTAACTCAAAACGCATATTATATTCCAAAAGGTTTTGTTGATGCTGAAGATGGATCTGGGAATATTATTAATGGGGAATGGAGACACATCACGCAAGGGGATGAGAGCACTTTGCAAGCAGTTCGACGAGTTGGGAGCAATTCTTATTCATTTACTGCAAAGTCTGTGAGAGAGCATTATTGTGAATATTTTAACAGCAACAATGGAGCCTTGCCCTGGCAGCTAGATTATGTTAGATACTGTGGAAAAAGATGCCGAAATGTTTATCAGCTAAATATAAATTTGCAAAATACAATATTTGGGTCTATATGTAATCCTGAAAACCCTAATGTAAAGGGAGGAATTTGTAAACAAGCAATAATAATTCATCTATTTAAAGTTCTTAACTTCTTTTAAGAAACTAACAATCTCCTTGGTCAAGATTGTTATTGAAGTTCATCCTTTGCTGACTTAAATTATGGTGCTGCATCCATGGGTTAGGGGGTGAGAAGAAGTATGGATTTTTTTGTGTGGCCTGTTGTTGGGCATTACATTCCATTTCCATTTCGTTCATCACTTTCAAAATATTTAGCTGGAGCAAAGACTTGTGTGAAGTTGGGATGCGTTTGAATTTGGAAACCAAGCTCAAGCAAAACAATGTATCTTCATCATTTTTGGCAATGTTTCCCATGTCAGCATCTGAAGAAGAAAGTTGCAATATGGCGGAATTGATGCCATGCATGGTCTTCATGACTTCCTTTTCAAACCCAAGTGCTGTGTTAACTTTTTTATTCTTTGCCCATGGCCTGCAATATTTTTCTTCTTCTAATGAGCATATCTTTCTTTTGCCAAGCGTTTTACTATCTTTGACCATCTGTATAGCATCATTATTACCACTACCAATATCTCCATCCAAGTCTTGTCCTCCATTGGATGAGGTTTGATCAGAAAAAGTGGCTGATATATCGTCCGAATCATCGTCTACAAACACCGTGCTAACCTTACTAGATTCGTTTCCCTCATCAGTTAGTTCTATTGATGCATGGGAAGTTTGCCCAAGAGGATAGTTCGTGGAAGTTGAAAAATTACTTGTTGTCTGTCGATGTCGAATATGTGTAATTAACCATCGCAGATGTTCTAAATCAGGCCTGATTTCAATATCTGCCCCACCACTGCCTGATTTTCCCTTAATATTCTTTATGTACTTGGAGAAATTTGTTCGTATTGTGTTGTATCTTTTTTGCACACTTGCAACGTCCAATTCCAAAGCTTCTGCCACAGCTTGCCAAGCGTTTTGTTTTATCCTTTGATTTTTGTAATCTGGACACGATTTATCGTATATAGCACGATATATACGTATGGTATCCATAAGTGCTTTGTTGTTGACTGTTTCAATAACTTCATTGGTGTCTGAATTGTTATTTTCGTCCATTTCGGTGCTTTGTATTGTGCGTTTTGCTATTTCGTCCGCCATGTTATCCACATCAGACCGATGCATTGTGGGATTCGACAAATCGTTCAGGCATACCGGCGGACCATTCACATATATGTAATTGCCGCCGTATACCGCAGACATATCGCAAACTTGCCGGGAAAGTTGAACTCTAGTCAACTTTCCCGGCAGGCCGCCGATGTTGACACAGATAACCTGCGTTACCGGCGAGCGATTGTTCACATATACAATAAATAAGCGCAGGTCTTGTCGGCGGTCATTTCGCAGGCACACCGCAGGCATATGTGAACCAGGCTTAATTGCACCTAGATAGCCTATCCTTAATTAATATGTTCAATATTCGCGCACTTTTCATTCTTACGTATAGGTACTTGCGTTTTTCAAGTGCTTTATACGTCTCGCCTTAACTCCACCTAGTTAAGAAAAAATATAAGAAACTCTCATCAAAAGTGAAAAAAATAGTGGGCACATTACTGGCTCGTGGAATGAAATTCATATAAAGACGTATAAGCGTTCGAGTGTTTGCTCTGGCTCATTATTAAACATTTCAACGTACTAAAATATATTAATGAACAAATTTCGTGTTTCATACTCAGTATATGGCGCAGACAATTCTTCAGCGTGAATCTGCAGAATGCTCAAATAAACAAGTAAACTTCCTTAGAGAAAAACTCGCAAGTGTGCAAATTCTGGAAAATTACTGCACAGGATACATTGATGGAACGGTGGAGCAAATGGAAGATTTTCTTCAACAGTTTCAGGTCTCGTAGTTTGTTTTCAATTGTTGCACCATACTGCAAACAATTTGTAACATATTCCGAAAAACATCATCATGTAAACTCAAACTTTCAGTTATAATAGCAAGAAACAAAATCTAAAAGCAATATTTTGACATTATTTCAAAGTCATTATAAAGCTAATATAGCTAAGTTTACAAGATCATGTTTTTTGAAGTATGTTTTATAATTTATTTCTTCAAATTGTCGGCTTGAAAAGGTTTTTGTAATTGTTGAACAGTTAACTTTCAAAGGCCGTAATACGTAAACCTTAAGTGAAAGAGGTTGTTGAATTTAGGTAATTGATTCTATCTCGTTTGTGAAGGCTGACAACCACTCAAAAACAAGGGGCAATAAACGTTTTTCAGTCACAGGTAATCAACTCAACCGCATCACGCATCTTACTCCAAACTAAAGCGAGAAAACACCAAGAAATTTTCAACCGACGCATGAATTGGGCAGCCAAGCCTTCTACATTCCCCATCTTTAATATTGCATGACCAATTAACATTTTATAGTCGCAAAGACATTCCATTATGGAGTTAGAAGAATCGAATCTAACAGTCATTTCTATCTATATTAGCAAAAAACTCATTAGGAAAAAACCGTTCAATGACTCGCCAATTATTTTGCTATCTCTTTTAAATACATTTTATTATCTAACACATCTGCATAGCTTAACATAATAAGAATGTTTTACTTGAAGACAAACAAAATGCTGAAAAAACATATCATTTATTTCTTCTAGCACCGCCTGTGCTTGAAAGCAAGAAGGCAAATATTCCAATTGAGTTTTTTGGAAATCCGTTTTTGATTGTGAGCAACGAAACAAGACATTGTTTAAATGGGAGGGCGACAGTATGTATTTTTCGTTATGATATTTAAGATTTATTTGTGCACAATTTGTCTTGACACCACACTGTTTTATTTTAACAAACTTCTCAGGACAGCATAGGCACTCACAGACACGACGTAGAAAGTGACCATGATTATGAAGAAAAGGGACGGATTCGATTACAGAACAGTAGAAAGCTGGATTGCCCAGCACAAGTGCAAATAAGACAAGTCAGAGTATTTCTCGACTACTACATCGATCGGGAACAATTTACATCAGAAAACAGCTTGGTTATGGCAAAACGGAGAGTATTTAGAGAGATTAAGGAAAAAATGTATAACGATTCCTCCTCACAGCTTCAAGCCAGCAGTCGTTTTTACCTAAAAAATACCTGTTAGTAGTGCTCATTCAAGTCACGCCATTGGTGCCACGGCAACAGTTGGGCAGCGAATGGATTACCGACTGGTCACGAAAGTTTATAGTTTGGTAAAACGCAATGTAATCAAAATCTCAGAAGTCAAAAGGTGTCTTGATCAATACGTTGAAGAGACTTTATTTCCACAAGACGGACAAAAGGCTACAACGCGCAAGACAAATAAACGGTACTATCCAAATAAAAAGGATATTCGAAACCATGTAGCAAAAGCATTAGAGTCCCTTAAGGACTGCAAAGACGATCAAGAGTCCCTGCGCAGGAAGGTAGAAACCTGGAAACAGAATTCTCCAAGCAGCAAGTTTTTCTACCGCACAAGAGATAACGCTTCCAGAAACGATATTCCTCCAAAGGAGGATAAAAAGTTTTTGTTTGTGCATCAAGAGCATTGGCAACAACAAATGCTGATTCGTTATAGCGGGCAATTGTGTCTCATGGACGCCACGTACAAAACAACAAAGTACGCAATACCGCTTTTCTTTGTGTGCGTTCATTCAAACGTTGGCTACAAAGTTGTGGCTGAATTTATATGGCAGACGGAGACCGAAGAAGCCATAGAAGAGGCTCTGGCTATTATAAAAGGATGGAATCCAGTATGGAACCCAAAATATTTTATGGTGGATTACTCATTAGCAGAAATAGGCGCGATAGAAAAAAGTTTTCCCGATGTACAGGTTTATGTTTGCGACTTTCACAGGTTGCAAGCGCTAAAACGGTGGGCTTCAGCAAGCAAGAATGGATTGTCATATGAACAGCAACAACACTTCCTTTTGCAAATGAAGAAGATTGCTAATGTCAGTACCAAACAGGAGTACGACAAGGCAGTAAAAGATTTTCGCGAATCCAAAGTGTATAGAATGCAAAGAATGCAACAAGATGAGAGAATATGTTGACCGTACGTGGTTTTCTTGCGCTGTGAGATGGGCACACGCTTTTCGAAAACAGCCAGTCACCAACATTGTTAATACTAACAATGGCGTTGAGGCTCAAAACAGAGTCTTTAAATACGAATACTTACCCCAAAGTATTGACAAATCTTTGTATGGTATTGCGGTGATGTTGGTTGAATCTTTAATTCCCGATGTTCTTCAGCACTATTTGGATGCAAACCTGCGACTGAGCAGCGCCAACTGCAAATACAACCCATCAATCCCAGAATACTTGCACAACAGACCTCTGCACTTTTTGAAATGCTGCCTTAAAAATCGATACGCTTCAGCCATTTACAAACAGGACGACATAACTCTGGTTAATTTAAAGAAGGGCACGTTCAATGTCAAGAGCGAGAGCAATGTTGGAAAGAAACATTTCATAGACTTCCGAGAACCAAGTTGTACATGCAACATATGGCACACTACCCATTTCCCTTGCAAACATTTCTTCGCAGTTTTTTCTTTCTATGACGAGTGGGATTTCGAAAGTCCTCCAGAAGACGACCGAAATAGCGTTTTCATCACTCTCGACAATGAACCTCTTGGATTGCCACAAGATACTACGCCAGAAGAACTAGAGGAAGCCAATACGTCATCATGGAGCACCATCAAAAAGAGACGTTGTTTTGCAAGAATCGTTGTCTTCTGATAACAAAAAATATATCCACGACATACCCCACGAAGAAACAGTTAAGTTTGAAACTACTTCAAACAAAAGTTCCAAAAGGCTCAGAAAGATCTTGCAAGAACAACTGGGCCAAATACACAGTATGACCTTCCTGATCGACAACGAGACCACTCTACAAGAAGCAGTGCAAAAAGCTGAAAGCTTGAAACAGTTTGTTGAACAAAATTTTCCCACAGAAAATGGTTTGCCCCTTCGATTGAGTCCTGTGAAAAAAAATTAAAGGTTGCCGAGACAAAATACCATCAAATCTTTCATAAGGCCCTACCTCCCAGACGACGCAAGACAAAAAAATCTACACCATTTACAATAGATCTTACTAATGTGGGCGATGAAATGGCACAAGTAAGACAAGTTATTGAATTGCTTTCTTGTCTTTTCTTAAAAAAGCTTCTCTCAAATTATTACTTTTATGTTTAAAAAATTTCTTATCCGTCCGAAAAGAGTAAAAAGACAAAAGCACTTATCTTACTTTCCAATATCTTATTAAAGTATTGTTTCAAAAGTAATTTTCACCAGCCATTAGATATACGATACGAAGGGCATCACCAAAATTGTGGGTTTTTGTCTTCTAAATCGCACTCATTTTTGCCATACTCGAAAACAACGTTTGAAAAAGTTGTTCGTAATTCTTTAGATTACATCTCGTCACGAGTATTTTCTGAAAGTACTCTTTTTATTTTCATAGGTGGCCACTAATGTGCAAAACCAGGAGAATGAAAAAAGAAATTCAAGCAGGTACAAACATATAGCAATAGAGAAATATTGAATGGAGAAAAATTTTCCAAAAATATTTGTGCAATGATGAGAGGGGGGTAGTAACATTTCAGTGTAGTATTTATATTTACTATGTAGTAATTATTTAATATGAGTGAGGACTATACCATTACCTCCATTTTTCTTTTCCTAAATGGCAACTGTAGTATTGACGTCTCAGCTGAGCACAAGGCAAATCCACTGGATCGCTTACTGAATGCCTCTCTAAATGGAATTAAGTTAGGTGATCAAATGCTAGAATTTGGACCAAACAAAGTTACTCTTCAGGATTTATGGACCCTCATTCCACCAAATGAGATGACTAAATATGCTGCCACACTAATTGAAAATAAAACTGTGGCACCTGGATGGCTTAGTGATACAGTAAGTCAAGTGATTAAACACTCTACAGCTTACATATGATTATCATTATTTTATGTTGAAATGGTAAATGAGCCTGATTGTTATAGGTTATCAACGCTTTCTTATGGAAACTTTCATGTGAATACCCTGGTGTCCTACCAGCAGAATCATATGTATGTCAGTTGGTGCAACGAGGATCTAGTACACGTCGACTGTGGGCAAATCAAAATTTCATGGCAATTGACACAATAATATTTCCTCTCAATTTGTCTGGGAGCCATTGGACACTTTTGGTAAATACAATATGGATGCAACATAGCTAAGACAAGGCAACAAATTTTTATTATTTTCAATATTGTCACTTTTAAAGGTAATCGACAAACAAAAAGAGATGGTATACTACCTTCATCCTATGGAAGGTCATGTAGAAGAAGTTATCAGTGAGGCAAGAAGAGTTGAACTTTCACAGTTTATCAAAAGCATTTGGTAAGTATACATACATTACTTCCTTGACAAATACCAGTATTTGAAATTCCAATTCAATGAATCACTTCAATGTCTTGAATACACACAGCAACATTGATATAGTGCAGTTGATAATATAATCCCTTTGTTTATAAAGTGCCCTTGTTGATCTAAAAAGTGGGTGGAACACATCAACTTGGTGTATTATTCAGCCTTCACACTATGTGCAAGAGGATGGGTTTAACTGTGGAATAATTATTTGCCTGGTAGTTGTTTTGACATTGTGTTCTAAGAAATAACAATTTAAAAAAAATCTCTTTTATTTTTATTATTTCAGTTTGCTGAATATCTGAGTCAAAATCTTGACATAAATGCAAAGTTTGACATGAGAAAAGTGAGGCAGCACGTGACTTCAACGATTATGGGTTCTTGCTATGATGACATTTATGAGTAATAACAAAAAAATTATATTTTTTTAAATATTTTAATAAAAGGGGCAAATTATAGATTTTATTTCATTGACAAAAACATTAAACTAGACAAAAACATAAAACTAGACAACATTAAAGTCGTGATTTATTTGTTGGAATTATCCATAAAATCAATCTGACATTTGTATTGTAATAAATTGTGTGCTTGATTACTTTACCATAAGTAAAATGTGTAAAATTTATTTTATTAGGAGAAATAGTTTGGTATGCAAGATTTGCAAGATTGATGATGGTGAAGACTGGTTGGGATGAGATTCACGTGGGCAGTACTTTCATGCAAGTTGTTTGAATGTTGAATTTGGACAAACTCTGACAGAGTACTTTGCTTGCCCATAATCAGACATGACAATCGTATAATAATACAAAACATAAATTGTAAGATTTAAAAGTGCCGAATAAAAAAGACTTACCGATTAGAATACTTTTGAGCATCATCAATATCCTTTAGAACATATTACAAGCAAGCTCAATAACAAAGAATAATATACTTCACAATGCACGTTTGCAGTAACATTCGTTATAAAAAAGACCGCATATTTTGTAAAAGCCAAATAAACATATAATACAATGTGGGCGCTGTGTTGAAAACTTTGTGTTGATTTGTGTTATGAAATTTTTTATACAACAAACATATTGTACTTATAGCGATTATTATGTCAAGGCTTTTGCCGCTGACCAGGAGGTTAATAGGCGCGTCCCCGATCATCGCCCGGGTTATAGCCATTGAGTTCTATAACTCAATGGCTATGGTAATGGCTCAATGGTTATAGCACTCAATAGCACTTATTGAACTCAATGGTTATAGCAAACCCCATTTATATCTTGAAGTCATCATGGCTGAAAGTAGGCATATATACGATCTTGGCTCATTGATTCAAGACAGTAAACCAGCGAGTTTTCTTTTGTAAGAAAGGATTATGAAGCAAAAGTCTCTGCTGCCATTCCGACTAAAACAGACCTGTTTCGAAAAGGAAAGCTGGCGAGAGATCTTAACGCAGAGTTGCTTATCCCTAAGCATATGGGAGATAATTGGCGGGCTTTAAGGTAAGTAGCTTGAAGTGCTTACTGCTTACTATGCTTGACATTGTAATACATAGCTATAGGTCTATACTTGTATTTATGTAATGCATGCTTATAGCTTACTCTCTTTAATGTTTGGAATATGATGGGATGGGGCACTGGGGGTGTTTATTCCCTGTTGAATTTATTTAAATTTCAAAGCATCCTGACCTGCATTAACCTATTAAATCGAAATTTACTGTATTCTATTTTACAATGTCAATTTTCAAACTCCATGTCCAATATTGTTGGCTCAATGAAATTTAGCCAGTAGTATAATGCACTGCTTTGGATTTATGCCATAACTAGTGTGCACATAATTATGCATGTTGTTGTGCCAAGTAACATTTTATTCACAACTATATGTTTGAATTAAGGTAATCCTGCATATTTATACTGGAGATTTCTTCGGATTAAAGTCACTGGTAGAAGTCTCTACGTACTTCCTGGAGAAATCTCCACTCTAATTCTGCTCACATGGATATTGTGATTTCAAAGTTACTCAATATACATAAAAATATAAGAGCTAATAATTTAATATTACATTACTTCAGGATATTTCATAGGTTTATAAATATTCCATGTAATATGTTGTAATATGTGCTCAATGTGACAGACAGAGAGGGCACATTTTTCATACATTTTGCTTGTTTATAAATACTAACTTTCTGAGCTATGCAATGTGTTGAATGTAAGAGCTATGCTGGACCAACCATGTTATTCATTAGAGTTTTTCATTTTCAAATTGCATGCCTACTATTGTCAATTCCCTGAAATTTAGCAAAGCAAACTGTAATTACATATTATTTCAGCCACAACAATTCCTTATTATTTCTTCCACACCTAGCTTGATAATGACTTTCATATGAAGTTGAAATATTTCTTTGAATCTTCTCAGTTACTGTTATAACTGGAATCTTGAGTTTACAAGATGATGTTTTTTTGAGTGTATGCTCTCATTTACAATCATGCACAGTGTGCCAAATTTCTAAATTTACCATAAAACATTATGATCACAAAAGGGTGGGTACACAACAAAGCATTTCATTTACATAGATATGATGTTACTGTATTGTCTTTACATGATTATTATTATCTCAAAATTACCCACTATACATAAAGATATTAGAGCAACAGTTGTATATTGTAATACTTTAACATATTTCATTGTATATTACATCACCATATTTTATTTTTGCATATGTGCATATGTGTATCCTGATCCTTATGTATAGGAGTCCTCACCCTTTGCACTTTGATTAAAGCTAGGAGGGCACATAGTATTAGCTATTAGGTACGTACTTATACTCCCCTTGAAAGCTGATCTCATGAATTTGGTTGGGAAAGTATAGCACTGGCATTACCATGCTTAGATTCAATTATCTAAAAAAATATTTATGGGTTGTTAAAGGCAACCCAAAAAATTACACTTTAAGGCTTGATGAATGCTCCCCTAAAAGGCTTTTCTTTATCAACATAGAGTCAATAGTCATTTTATTCAATAGACTTTCTAATTTTTATTGCTTGTGTAGAACTAGAGGTGATGGTAACTGCGTGAACATTTCTTTGCTATCTCTACGTATCTTTTTCTGCTCTTGGAGGAGTGATATTATCAACGAAAGAAGAAGAACATTTATCATTACTTGTTGCCTGCCTTTAGTACGATGATTACATCGTGAACATTTCTTTGCTATATCTACGTATCTTTTTCTGCTGTTGTTCGACAAGTGGTATCAAGTGTGATTAATGGTCAAAAACTTGTGCTTCATTTGTGAGATATAAAAGGTTTCTTTGCGTTTCACGACAAAAAATGTGCCAAGCTTCTACCTTTTCAAAATCACTCGTGGATTGGAATGATACCTTCCTGATTGTAAGTTTTGGCGAAGGTATGAAACTTGATAAATCTGATAATAGTAACGAAAATGTTTAAAGGTTAGTGGAATTTTAGATTTTATATCATTGAAATTTGCGAAAACTTTACAAACTAAGTAAAGCCAAGTTTTTTTTAAATTCTGTTGTCAAAACGCAGGAAATCGCATTTCCGATGGTCTAAAATATAAAATTTTCCCGGGGGCATCCTCCCAGATCCCCCCTACAGAGCTAGCGCCTTTGGCGCTCGCAGTGGTGCATCAGTCACAAAAATTGCTGAATCCGCCCTGCCTTTTGCCAATAACTTTCCATTTCTTGAGATTAAGCATTCATATCCTTGAAACTTTACTGAGGCGCCCAATCTTGTCATTGCCCTTACAGATAACAAGTTTTTTCCTGATTCTGGAAGATACAGCACTTCACGAAGACTAATATTTTGGGTACGACCATTGGTATCTGCCAAAATATTGTATGATCCTTTTCCATACGCTGATATGGTTCGATCATCACCTAGGTTTACAATGCATGGCTTCTTGAAATCCACATAATCATATAGACAGTTCTTTTGGTATGTCATGTGCTGAGTAGCACCATAGTCTACAATCCAGTGGGCATTATCTCCACAGTCGGATGTAATTAAAGCTTCTTGATCAAGATCAGCTTTATCTTTCTCTGTACAATGGACGAATCCCTTATTTTGATCACCATGTTGTTGCTTATTCCCTCTTCTATAACGTTCTGGACAGTCTCTGCCAAAGTGTCCCTTTTTCTTGCAATTGTGACAAACTCCTTGAAATTGTTTGTTATAATCCCTTCGTTCTTTCCCTTTTCCATGAGTTGACTTGTCATTGTTGAATCTACCTCTTTGAACGGAATAGGCATCCTCATACTTCTTTTCATCACCCATTCTGTCCACATCATTCAACAACATGTCTTTGACTTTTTCAAACGTTAAGCTGTCTTCCGCAACAGCATCTAATGCGGTAATCAGAGGTTTGTACTCATCAGGCAGACTTGCCAACAAGGTCATCGCCAATTCCTTGTCATTTACACTTATCCCCATCTCTCGCATTTGATCATGAAGTGAACGCATGTGATTGATATGTTGCAACATATTACTTCCAGACTGGAATTTGCAGGAAAAGTATTGCTGCCTTAACTTGATTTTCAGCAAAATTGACTTTCGTGAAAATTGGGCTTTTAGGGCATCCCACGCCTCTTTCGCTGTTTTCGTTTCCCGGACATGAATTTGTTGTTCAGGCTCGACGGCCAAACAAATGTAAGTCCACGCCTTCTTCGTGGAAGATATGAACTTCTTTTTCACCGCTTCAGGAGCATCATCAGCAGGACTTTCTGCAGATCCATCGGCGTGTTCAAATAGATCTAAACTTTCGAGGTGTAATCGCATGTTAAATGCCCAGTCGCGATAGTTTGTCCCATTCAGCTTTGTCATTTTCCTTACAAAGTCAGGTGACATCGCCATATTGTTGCACGCTTCAGTCTCACTTTGTTTTATTTGAAAATTGAAAAATCACACAAGATTCTATCTGGTTGCTGCTCGAACAGTTGTTCAAATGGAAATGTAGTGCATAGAGCATTCGTTTCGCATAGAGCCCCTTTCAACTATTCTACGTTGCTTTCAATGTTCTTCTGTCCTACAATGAACCTGAAAGACTTGGGACGAGGTACAACCTCACCGTAAAATCTTCTTTGGGTTGATGGAGAAAGATGCGATATGCAACTACGTTGAACTTTTTAGCCTTTACTTTACCAGAAATTGTGTACCACGAAAAATGGTTCACATGAAGTGTGAAATAACTGCTTCCCATGGAACAGAATATGTTATCATTTTCTTACAGCGAGATCATCATTTTCCAAGTTATATTCATCAATTTGCATAAAAGGTGTTTGTATCTCAAATGTATTAGCTATGTTTGAATTTTTCTTGTCAAAGTTGTAAAACTTCCATTCATGAAAAATTACATCTTGGCTCTTGATGAATGACTTTGTTTCTGGATTGTACAATTTGAATCCTTTTGTACCTTCAGGATAACCCAAAAATATGCATTTCGAGGATTTAGCGTCTAATTTCTTCCGTTTGATATTAGGAATATGGGCATAAGCTAAGCAACCAAATATCTTCATGCTTGACACATCTGGCTTATATCCAAAGAAACATTCAAATGGTGTTACCTCTTTCACAGCAGTAGTAGGACTTGGGCTTCTTATATAGGTAGCTGTACTCACAGCCTCTGCCCAGAATTCAGTGGGAGTGTCTGCATGAGCCATCATCGATGGAGCGGTTTCTAATAGTGTCCTGTTCATCCGTTCAGCCACTCCGTTTTGTGCTGGATTGTGGGGGACAGTAGTTTGATGTGTTATGTTATGTGTATCGTTATGTTAGGAATGACGATACATTATATATGTATTAAACTAAGTATAATACGTGTGATCATAGTGCTAGTCAAAAGATCTGGTAAGCACTACTTATTGTATGCTAATTTTACTTTTTCACACTTGATCTTCTGTTCAGCTCGACACCGCATGGTTTAGAACAACGCTCTTTATGTAACTTAAACTATTAAATATATGTCGTTTTGCTTCTGCTTTAATAATAAATTAACAGGTTATGGGCCCAGGACACTAGAACGTCTGGGTAGTATCGAAGATTTGGGTTTAAAGCAATGAAATTTTTCAAGTAAAACAAAGTGAGACTGAAGCGTGCAACAATATGGCGATGTCACCCGACTTTGTATTGAAAATAACAAAGCTTAATGGGACAAACTATTGCGACTGGGCATTTAACATGCGATTACACCTCGAAAGTTTAGATCTATTTGAACACGCCGATGGAACTGCAAAAAGTCCTGCTGATGATGCTCCTGAAGCGGTGAAAAAGAAGTTCATATCTTCCGCGAAGAAGGCGTGGACTTACATTTGTTTGGCCGTCGAGCCTGAACAACAAATTCATGTCCGGGAAACGAAAACAGCGAAAGAGGCGTGGGATGCCCTAAAAGCCCAATTTGCACGAGAGTCAATTTTGCTGAAAATCAAGTTAAGGCAGCAATACTTTTCCTGCAAATTCCAGTCTGGAAGTAATATGTTACAACATATCAATCACATGCGTTCACTTCATGATCAAATGCGAGAGATGGGGATAAGTGTAAATGACAAGGAATTGGCGATGACCTTGTTGGCAAGTCTGCCTGATGAGTACAAACCTCTGATTACCGCATTAGATGCTGTTGGGAAGATAGCTTAACGTTTGAAAAAGTCAAAGGCATGTTGTTGAATGACGTGGACAGAATGGGTGATGAAAAGAAGTATGAGGATGCCTATTCCGTTCAAAGAGGTAGATTCAACAATGACAAGTCAACTCATGGAAAAGGGAAAGAACGAAGGGATTATAACAAACAATTTCAAGGAGTTTGTCACAATTTCAAGGTCTTCAACCGAAGCTGAATACGTCGCACTAAGTTTAGCTACAGAAGCAATTGTGTGGTTGAAGAAGCTCCTACAAGATGTGAATGTAAGATCAGAACAATCATTGGTTATTTATGAAGATTTGTGAAGTACTGCCCTACAGATCAAATGTTAGCCGACATCATGACCAAAAGTCTATCCAAAGAAAAATTTATAAAATTCAGAAAACAATTGGGAGTTTCTGAAATCAATTAATTTTAGTCTTGTTTAATAATGATATCCTCAAGTGGGAGTGTTTAGGAATGACGATACATTATATATGTATTAAACTAAGTATAATACATCTGATCATAGTGCTAGTCACATGATCTGGTAAGCACTACTTATTGTATGCTAATTTTACATTTTCACACTTGATCTTCTGTTCTGCTCGACACCGCATGGTTTAGAACAACGCTCTTTATGTAACTTTAAATTATTAAATATATGTCGTTCTGCTTCTGCTTTAACAATAAATTAACAGGTTATGGGCCCAGCACGGTCCCGCTGCGCATGTTCATGCGCGTTGAATTAAAAAACAAAAATTACGATCAAGCTCAAGTTCATCAATTTTTTATGATGTGAAAGGTGATGTCAAACAAATCAAAGAATTACAAAAAGAACGTAAAAAACTGAAAACGTTATTTAGTAAATGTTAGAATTTTACTTAATTTTAATACAAATCTTATATTTCAATTTTGTTTAAGTTAATTGTTTAATAAATATAATGACAGCAATGGAAGAAAATTTTTTAACAAATGTGATTACAGCAAATGGGTTTTGTTTGAGATATTATTAGTATTCTCTCGAATTTATGCAATTTTGTTTTGAATTTAGGCGTGATTCTATGTATTAAAACTTGTGATTTTTGTCATAACACAAACCGCTTTGATTATTAAATACATTAAAGTGGCGAAAACAATTTTTTGCATCTTGGTTTAATACAAAGCGCATATTTGCGATTTTGTTGAAGTCAGTGTCAGATTGTACCTGTCACAGGTATTGAAGATAATTGTTTAATAAATGTGATGAAAGCAAACGGATTTTGTTTGAGATATTATTAGTATTCTCTCGAATTTACACAATTCTGTTTTGAATTTAGGTATGATTCTATATATTAAAGTTTGCGATTTTTGTCACAACACAAAGCGCGTTGAATCTGATCACAGTAAAAAGAAATGGGCCATTTTAGCCCCATGAGGTCGTTTTGGCTTTTGAAATTACTAGCCGTATTGGCTAACAATGAGGGCTAAAACAGACAAAAGAGCCGTTTTGGCTCCATGACGGTTGTTTTTGCTCTCCAATTGGTGCCAAAATAGAAATATACGGGCCAATTTGGCACCATGAGGTCGTTTTGGCTTTTGAAATTGCTGCCATATTGGCTAACAATGAGAGCTAAAACAGACAAGAGGGGCCGTTTTGGCTCCACGAGGGTTGTTTTTGCTCTACAAGACTACAACTGGTGCCAAATAGAGTCCTTAAGTGTGACGTCACGTTACCATGGCGCTAAAAAATGCAGTTGTAAACAAAATATCTTATGCGAGCGCTTTGGACACGCTTCCTTTGTTTTGAATGTCTAAAGCTTTAATTATCCAGTGTAATCCCACAAAAGACAGTAAAAAAAACAGGAAAGGTTAAAGGATCATCCAAGGGATCAACTTTCGTCGAAGAAGTGTAAAGGACGCGGGTCAAACGAGCAAAATGGTTTACTGTTTTGCTCCTACATGTGGCCATTCGTTGGAGGGCAACACTTGCAAGTTCTTCGCTTTTCCAAGCGCTTCAAAGCAAAACGACGAGTACAAGAGATGGATTCGACTCATAAGGTATGAACTGATATTCAAAAGGAATTCCTTGATAGGTGAAAATTTGATGAATTACGTGATTTTAAGTGTGATTTACGGACTCTATTCAGGTGAAGAGTTGACATCAGGACATGAGGGAGAATCATCGAATACTGAATTATAGAAGCTTCAGCTAGTTGTCTTTTTAACGGTCGCTTTGTATTTTCCGTAGCCAAAACCTTAAATCTTAGTGTTTTCGAAGGTATAATCCATCAATTTTGAGGATCAAATTTTTATCACTTTAATGAAAGTACGACAGAACTACACACAGCTTCACCTAACCCAATTGTTTCATTGTAGTGTGGCCACAATTTCTAACATTGTTATAACATTGACTCATGTTTTGCATGAAATTTTGTTTGACCTAATGACGTCGATTCCATCCCGGGGAAAAAACAAGATCTCTGCACCCTCCTCTTTCAGGCAATTTGAATCCTGTCGGATTTTTATACTGCACAGGTATTGAGGTTGCTGCTCTGGGATTGATGCGTCAGCAAAATGCAACCTATTTATCATACAGAGGAATGAATTCCTTTAAGGTAATAGTTGGTGTTGTACCAAATGGAGTCATTACCAATGTCAGTCGGCTGTATCCAGGTTCTGTTTCAGACAAGGCCATTGTGCAACAGTCTGGACTCCTTAATCACTTGACAGCTGGAGATATGATTCTGACGGACAAGGGTTTCCTCATCCAGGATGTTGTACCACATGCTGTCTGTGTCAATATTCCACCTTTTCTGAATAATGGAACTTTCACAGAGAGTGAGGTCAAGAAAACAAAAGCCATAGCTAAAGCACGGATTCATGTCGAAAGAGCCAATGCTAGGCTGAAAGACTTCAAAATTTTAGGCGTCATTCCTTTGTATTTGCACTGCTATGCTGACATTTTGTTTCAGTTATGTGCAGCACTTGTAAATTTGCAATTTCCTCTCATCAAAGAGGGATGCGAAGATATGGTTTTTGAGTAGTTTTATGCTTGAAGACTACATTGGACAGTTTTTTAATAATTTTTGTTGTTCAAATAGAAATAAAACAATTTGTAGACTGAGGCTTACTTAGAAGAAAATACAGCTAGAGGGGTGGGGGCTGGAAGCATTCTAATATAACAGTAAAGGGATGATTTTACCTCCTAGGGATTACAATATTTATCATCTGGTACAGCCTGGGTGTACATAGGGTGTCAAATTAGATCACTGCGAGAATTCTTTTATCATGTTTAGGAGAACAGAAGTTAAAAGAAGTTTTGACGCATGTTTTACAATGGATGTCTTTTGGGGGATAAAAATAAAGCAAGTACTGCCCACAGTTACCCTTAAGGAGTCTCTCTGAACATTTCCCATGAGCATCCCATCACTTTTATATGGGAATTTCCCTTCCCCCCAGGAAAACAACATTAAATGATGTACCATATTTCCATGTCTTTTAAATACCATGTTATCCTTGTGTTTATTAATAAAAATGCAAATATATGTATAGCCTGTTACCACAACTCCCTCACACCAAACTAGTAGTGGTAGGTCAATTTGAGGACTGAAAACCGGCGAGTATCATTATTTTTAAAACAAATCGTTCATTGAAAAGCCTTTTTTTATTTCACTACTACGGTGGCCCACAGGTGTCACGGCACAAACAAAATCTCACGGTACACACAAAACTTCTCACGGCACACACAAAACTTCTCACGGCACGCACAAAACTTCTCACGGCACAAGAGCAGTATTCAAAGAGACTGGGACTGATAAACATAAATAAAATATGGCGGAAAACGAAGGCGAAAGTTCTTTTGAAAGTGCGAGATTTTGTTGTATGTGTGGCACAGAGCACAAAAGCAATGCCAAATTTTGCACACAGTGTGGAATAGGTAAGTTATATCTAATTTTTCAAACAATATAATTGAAAAATATGTCAACAGTGGCGTAGTCAGCATGAAAGTTTTGAACGACAGATTGGGAACCATGCGGGCGGCTTTTTCGCAATGATTGTTTGAAATATTAATGAAATATTTCCATAACAGGACGAAATAAGTGGATTGGATACGCAATGGCCTGATAGTCTAGTAATGACTAATGTTAACTGAAAATACACGAGATACAAAAGCATTCCATTGATTCCAAAGTAATTTCAGAGCACTTAGTTGATTTAAAGTATATTCAGTGCTTTTCAATGACATGAATGCAGTAAATTAGCTACAAAACATCTTTTTTTCACCAGTGATGTTTTTAAAAAGAAGTAAAATAATTATGAAAATTGCCAAAAAAAGAAAGAAGCTCTTAATTTTGACTATGCATTGCTAATTGTTTATAAAACATGACTCAATATAATCATAAACATTGAAGTTATAAGAATATAAAAACAATTAGCTTGTTTTTTTATGTTTTATAATATTGTACATCTCTTAACAGAATTGCATCAAAGATCCTGTTTATCTTCATCAAGTGATGTTCTCCCTTCAACCAGTTCAAGTCTGGCACAAAATGCAAAGTCATCAAACAAGAGCGATTGCTTTGATGCTAATAGTAAGGGAAGAGTAAAATCATTTTCTGATTACAAAAAGATGAAAGGGAGTGAATGGAAGAAAAAAGTCGACAAAGGAAGAGGCAAAGATGAGGATGTTGTGATATTCATTGGACTGCTTCAATGGAATGAAGAAGAAAGAAAATTAAAAGCAAAACGAGGAAAGAGTTGCTCTCAAAATTTCAAATCAAGCACCTTACACTGAGGTGCGGTCAAAAGGCATTGAAAAGTGGAAAGCTTATCACACTAATGATTTCATCGAACAGGAAGAATATACTCTGGTTTATCCAGATGGTCAAGAAGCTTTGTTTTTGCCTGGCACGAAGGAGTTCTTTTCTGCAAAACGATACAAGGAAGAGAGTGGGAAAGATTATAAACGCATTACTTTATATGTCTGCAGTAAAGATGATGTAAGAAGGAGCGAGGAAGATAAGGAGTCTGATACTGATGATGAACTTGGTCAACCAGCAAGAAAACAATTAAAGTCTGTAGTAGAGGACGATGAAACCATTGCAATCAAGTTACAGTATCAATTTGATAATGATAACATTAGTTTATCTAACACCCAATGGGAGGATGATGTGACCATAGTAGAAAATGTTGTTTTAGCTGGAGAAAATAGCTGCTCCTCAGTTCCAGATGCTCCAAGTAGCTGCTCCTCACTTCCAGATGCTCCAAGTAGCTGCTCCTCACTTCCAGATGCTCCAAGTAGCTGCTCCTTACTTCCAGATGCTTCAAGTAGCTGCTCCTTACTTCCAGATGCTACAAGTAGCTGCTCCTTACTTCCAGATGCTACAAGTAGCTGCTCCTCACTTCCAGATGAAGAATACCATTCAGTCAAAGATACTTTGGACAATTTCTGTGGAAACTCAAAAACAACTGCAAATGATAGTACGAGTTACCAAAATGTTGAACAAATTGTGCAAGCCTTGGAAAAGCAAACTAATCTGTCTGAACAGTTCTTTTTTGTTATCGGAAGGGGTAGTAGTTTAAAATGGCAGCTCACAATTTGGCAACATGTAGCAAAGAAAAAAAGTCCTATGAACCGAGTGATGGTGCATTTTGCAGGAGAGGAGGGCATTGATAATGGAGCTATGGCAAAGGAATATTTTACAAATATCATGAACGAAATTGGAAAGAATGTTTTTCCAGATGGAAGCCCCCAAAATTCAATGCTCAGTGTCCACAACGGTACATTTTATTCATGTGGGCAAATTGTTGCAACTAGCATCGCCCAAGGAGGTCCTCCGCCATGTTTCCTAGAGGATTGTGTTTATGATATGCTTGTTCTAGGAAATTTCAACATGAATGCACTTATTCCTGAAAAACATTTAACGTCTCATGAGCAAACACTGATAAAAAGCATCAAAGATAACCCGACTTTGATGCAAGATGTCATTTTGGAGCACGAGTACACTGGCAAGATCGATAAAGAGCATGTTGATGATATCATTGGTACTGTTATGGTTAGCATCGTCAGCAAACGTCTCCTCTATCTAAACGAGTTTCGTAGAGGTTTGGATCTCTATGGATTTTCGGCCTTATTGCAGGCTGAGCGTGATTTGTGCAAGCAGCTTTTTGTCAAAGGACGGTCTGGACAACCAGCTGATGCTAACTATTTAGTATCATGTTTCGTGCCATATTATTCAGAAAAAGGAAGCTCGCGGCGTGTGATTGAAGAGGAAATGATTGACTTCTTTCAAGATGTGTTAATGAGTATGGAAGACCAGAATGTAACAGGCTATATAGATCTGACATGGAATGATGGAGAAGATAGTCTTGGTAACATGCAAGACAACATGGAAAGGATCACTTCCCTGTCTGCAGATCTAACACCATCAGGAGTTCTGGGGTGGCTCACCGGACAAAAACATGTACCTATTAATGGAGAAAAGTTAGGAATCGGAGTTCATTTTGATCATGATTGTATGTCACGTAATACCATGCATAAAATCTGTTTCCCAATCGCAGGATCATGTGGCAGAGACATTACATTACCAGTTGAGCATATGAAAACAAGTGAAGATTTCAAGCACGTTTTCATGATTGCCTACTGTAAGGGTCAGAGTTTTGGGAAAAAATGAAACTTGTCATTCTAAATCAGTAACACCTTATCAGTGTTATCAGATTATTATGGAATGGTTACTTTTTTGTTTGATTCACCCCAATGGCAACTTTTAATTTTACTTCTTTCAAAATTATGTACTTACTAAATGCTTGTTAGTGAGGAAACATTTACTATACACTTTGTTAATTTTTATGTTAGCAGATAAATGTGATTGCTACCTACAGAAGATACTACCTACATTTTTTGTATAAACAAAATATATTAGATTAATTTGTCTTATGGCCAGTGGCTAAAGTAGAACGTTAAGTGGGGAGGGGGGTGAATATTCATATATTTAGCTCTGCTTTGCTGATTTGCTTTGTTAGTGATTATAATTTCAAAACAAATCAGCAGGGCAGAGTTGAATATTTGAATATTCACCCCCCTCCCCACTTAACGTTCTAGCTTCGTGCCTGCCTATAGCTACATGAAGTCTGTTGAAATTGAATGTTGGCAAGTATATTTACTTTGCATAGTACTGAAGAGTATTGTAAAGCTCAGTTGCCTGTTTCCAATCTCTTGGCTTGTCGAGATCACAAGATTGTAACACGTAGTTGAAATATTCTTGGAATATGTTTTCTTTTTCACTTTCCACTATGTGCGATCGAGCATAATGAATTTCTGTAGAAGTAACCGACAGTAAAAAGTGATTGCCACCATCACATAGCTCAGGTAAATAATACAATGAGTCAGGTCTGCCTTTTACATTATCATGACGTGATTTTCTGATATAATGGGTGTTCCATTGCTCTTTCACTTCGTCTAAAACCTTTTGTATCACATCCGAAAAGCAAAACCAAAGACACTCCATATCTAACTCTGATGAGAGATCAACTATCCTTTGATCCACTAGATCTTTAAAATAGTTTATCCACCAAGATGAGCACGACTTTCTGAATAGTCCCCACCACGACTCGATTCTTTGATTTCTAGGAGACGGGACATAACGATGGCTGCCAGCATCATCCCGGAAAAATGATTGAATGGCTGCCATTATTCCATTTTCAGTACCTAAATCTGTTACCAGATCAACAGGACATCCACCAAAATGTTCGACAGCATCTAAATAAAAACTGGCTATATCACCTGGGTGGTTGTTGGATCTAGTTACTTTTAGCCAGAGTATCTTTCTACTCCACCCATCAATGCAACCATGTATTGGAAATCCGAAAGGCTTCATTTTATCATAGCCGTCACAATGCCAAGCATAATTTGGGCCTGGATTTCGGTATTCCCTTCTTTTCAAGCGATGTGCTCGTCTTCGTTCAGTTCCTTCGGGACATATTTCACGCAAAATCTCCTGAACAGCTACTCGAGGTATGCCATTAAGTCGTAGAGTGTGCCAAACTGACCTATAACCCTGAAGACTGCCATGACCATCAACAATAGTTCGTATTGACTCTCTTACAGTAGTGACGTCGTATTCAACTTGCCTTCTTCCTAGACCATATTTCTTTATTCTTCTCTTTAAAGTGCTAATGCTTAATTCTATGTCGTGGTATTTCTGTAAAAATCTTCTTATTTCTTCATAAGTAAA